TTTTTTTGCTCCTTTTTTTGTAGGTTTTTTCCCCCGTTTTTGAGTTTTTTTTTTTTGTTTACACACCTCTTTTTTGTCACCTGCAGTCTTTGTTCCCCTTTTATTTTCTTTTTTTTTTCAATTTTTTTTGTTGCATATTTTCGCCTTGTTTTCATTATTTTATCGTCTTTTCCCGTTTTTTTCGCTTTGTTTTGTCGCTTCTTTTCCCTCTTTTTGAGCCTTTTTTGGTAGATTTTCTTGTCTTACTTTTTTGTCGCCTCTATTTTATTTTTTGTTGTTTTTCTTTTATCACAAGTTTTATTTCATTTTTGGTCGCTTTTTTATTTAATTCTTGTTTTTTAGTCGCTTTTTTGAGACATTTTTCTGAATTTTTTGTCGCTTTTGTTGCTGCCCTTTTTTTGTCGTGTTTTGTCCCCTCTTTTGTTACTTTTTTCACCTGGTTTTTTTATTTACCCTTTTCCGGTTTTTTTTTCGTTTTTGACTGTTCTCTAGGTTTTTTTTGTGACTTTTTACTGCTTTTTTTGACGTTTTTTCGTTTTTTTTTTGTTCGGTCACCGTTTTGAAACCTTCTCTTGTTGTTCTGTCACATATTTTATCGCACACAAAAAAGAGTAGAAAAAATGTCAACAAAAAGCGACGAAAACGCTGAAAATACGACAAAATTCTAACAAATCCGATAATCCGACTCGAAAAAAGCAAGCCAAAAATAAGCCAAAAAAAAAAGGAAAAATGACAGAAAATTACGCTAAAAGAACAACAAAAAAGAAGCTGAAAAAAAAAGAATCACTCTCAAACTTAATAATCAATCATTTAAAACGCAAGGAGAGATGGCGCTAGTTACCAACAAAATTTTGAGGTTAGTTTTGATGTACCGCGTAATCACTAATCAGATATGACTGGCTCTGTTGGCACCACTTTTGAAGCAAAAATATAAACTTTTAAACGGTTTATGTTGGCATAACGGAAGTAATTGTGTGACAGATGTGTCAATCGTGACATGACAGCTAACAACCGGAAATGATAGGAGAATCCAGGATTACCAACAGATTCAGTCATTTCTGATCACACGATAGTTGTAATTGGTAACACTGTAGGTGCAAATACGGAAAGAAGACGTCTGTCTTGACACTCTCAAAGAACTACCCAAAGAAATCCGGGACGAAGTGATCAGAGAGTACAATTTAGAGCCAGAGGTACCACAACCAATCAGAGCAGCGCATCCCAAAAAAGCGCTGCCACCTGCCAAAAAATCCCCGTTTAGGCGAACACTTCCGACAACTGGCGATGGCCAGCGACATCAACTTCTTGCACCGGAATTTCAGTGACCGGGGATGCCCATGGCACCAAGCTTACCACAAAATCGTGGATTTGACCCAACGCGGGATGGTCAAGACCTTCGGAGGCGAACTACTAGTGAAAGAAAACTTCCAGTGTTGTTTCAAAGTGTAATTTTACAACTACTAATTTATAATAAAGGACGATAACTATTAGTTACCACGGGTTTCGTTGTCCGACGCTTCGCTCGCTTCTGGTTTCGTAGTACGTTGGTCCGTCATGAACACTTGCATATCGTAGAAGGCGGTCTTATTAAACGCGTAATATTCCTTATTTTTGTATTTGTCGCCTAGTTGTTCAGCCGCCGCTAATTTTTCCGAATCGAGAATGTCAACCTCTTTTAGAATATCCGGGTGTGCAACTTCGTCCCCTCCTGCTTGTTCAGCCTTCATGGTCCCGTCTTCCACATCATCTTCCACTTCCACGTCGTGTTCTTCCTCTACGTCTTCGTCGTCTTCGTCTTTGCCCAACTCGGGACACGAACTCATAGCTTTGATTTTCGCAGCGTCTGACTTGGCCCGAATTTGGTCCATCGAGTTTGTTTTCCTCACGTTGCAACAAACCTTCCGTTTCGTGCCTCTTCTATCCCTGTCCCGTTTACAAAAATCATCTACTTGTTTCTTTTTACAGTCGTCGGCACCGATTTCCTTTGGCCTGTGACAAGGATTGTCCTTATGGCACGGATCTTCGAGCTTCGTGTTACCGGAATTTCCTAAAGCGCTGCATTTGCAAGGATCATTTCTGCCGGAGTCCTTGTTCTTGCAATCTTCGTCGTGTTTCTTCTTTTTGTCCTTCTTGCAAGGGTCGTCCTTCTTCTTCTTGTCTTCCTTCTTCTTGCAAAGGTCGTCCTTTTTCTTCTTGTCTTCCTTCTTTTTGCAAGGGTCGTCTTTTTTCTTCTTGTCTTCCTTCTTCTTGTAAGGGTCGTACTTTTTGGCCATTTCGTAGCAAGTGTCGCCTCCACCGTCCCACTTCTTCTTATCGCCCCTTTTCTTCTTATTCGGCGGAGAATAGCCCGGGCCGTCTTCGCTCTTTCCGCTTTTTTTCTTTTTGACTGTTTTTTTATCCGTCTTTCTTGTCACCTTTTTTTTCAGCATTTTTTGTCGCTTTTTCACCTCTTCTTTTTCATCGCTTTTTTCTATCGCAGTTTTTTTTGTTGTTTTTTTAGCCTTCTCTTGTTTTTAGTCGCATTTTGAGCCTTTTTTGTCGTTTTCTTGTAGATTTTCATAGTCGCCCTTTTTGGTGTATTTTTGTGTGCTTCTTTTGTCTATTTTTTCGCCTTCTTTGGTCGTTTTTTGAGATTTTTTATCGGTCGTTTTCGTCACTTTTAATTCCGTTTTTGTCGCTTTTTTTGGCATTTTTATTGTCTCTTCTCTTTTGTCGCTTTTTTTGTGTCCGATTTTTGTAGCTTTTTTAAATTTTTTGCCCCCGATTTTATCATCATTTTTTAAACCTTCTTTTGCCGTTTTCTTTGTCACATATTTGATCGCATTTTTTAGTCGTTTTTTTGTGGACTTTTTGGCGCCTTTTTTTTAATTCCAGTTTTTGTTTCCCTTTTTTGTTGGGTTTTTTTGGATTGTTTTTAATTGCCTTTTCGCCTCCTTTTTTGCCCTTCTGTTGTTTTTTTTGTGTTTTTTTTTTGCTTCTTTTGTATGTTTTCCCCCTTTTTGAATTTTTTTGTTGTTTCAAGCCTTTTTTTTTTGTCGCCTGCAGTCTTTGTTCCCCCTTTTTTTTCCTTTTTTTTTCGACTTTTTCTATGTTGCATTTTTTCGCCTTGTTTTTAAGGTTACCTTTTTTTCATCATTTTATCGCCTTCTTTTGCCGTTTGTTTCTCTTTGTTTTGTCGGTTTTACTGTAATTTTTTTATCCCATTTTTTCCCCTTGTTTAAGCCTTTTTTGTAGTTTTTTTGTCGTCATTTTTGTAACCTCCTCTGTTTTTGGCGCCTTTTTTGTTTTTTTTATTGCAGTTTTTGTTCTCTTTTTGTTGTGTTTCTTTTCGTTTTTTATGAATTGCCTTTTTCTTTGCCTTGGTTTTTTGATCACCTTTTTTGCCTTCTTTTTTCGCTATTCTGTTGTCGCTTTTTTGTGTTTTTTTTTTGGCGTTTGTTTGCATCTTGTTTTTGCAGGTTTTTCTCCTCTTTTTTGAGTTTTTGTTTTTCTCGCCTTTTTTTGTCGCCTGCCGTCTTTGTTCCCCTTTTTATTTTTTTTTGCAATTTTTTTGTTGCATTTTTTCGCCTTGTTTTTTGGATTGCCTTTTTTTATCATTTTATCGTCTTATTTTGCTGTTTTTTTCTCTATGTTTTGTCACTTTTGACCGTCTTTTGTCTGTTTTATTGTCATTTTTTTTATCCCATTTTGTTGTAGTCTTGTTCCCTTTTTGTAGTTTTTTTTTGCTATCATTTTTGTTGCCTTTATTTTATTTTTTGTCCCCTGTTTTAATTACCCTTTTTTAAACCTTCTTTATCGTTTTCTTTGTCACGTATTGATCGTATTTTTAAGCCTTACTTTTTAGTCATTTTTTTGTTGCCTCTTCTGTTTTTGCACATTTTTTGTTTTTTTATGTCTTTTTTTTAATGCAGTTTTTATTTCCCTTTATGTTGCGTCTGTTTTCGTTGTTTTAAGTTGCCTTTTTTTGTCTTGTTTTTTTCGCCTTCTTTTTTGCTCTTCTGTTGTCGTTTTTTTGAGTGTTTTTTGTGCTTTTTTTGCTCCTTTTTTTGTAGGTTTTTCCCCCCTTTTTGAGTTTTTTTTTTTTGTTTACACACCTTTTTTTTGTCACCTGCAGTCTTTGTTCCCCTTTTATTTTCTTTTTTTTTTCATTTTTTTTTTGTTGCATATTTTCGCCGTGTTTTTTAGGTTGCCTTTTTTTCATTATTTTATCGTCTTTTCCCATTTTTTTCGCTTTGTTTTGTCGCTTCTTTTCCCTCTTTTTGAGCCTTTTTTGGTAGATTTTCTTGTCTTACTTTTTTGTCGCCTTTATTTTATTTTTTGTTGTTTTTCTTTTATCACAAGTTTTATTTCATTTTTGGTCGCTTTTTTATTTAAGTCTTGTTTTTTAGTCGCTTTTTTGAGACATTTTTCTGAACTTCTTGTCGCTTTTGTTGCTGCCCTTTTTTTGTCGTGTTTTGTCCCCTCTTTTGTTACTTTTTTCACCTGGTTTTTTTATTTACCCTTTTCCGGTTTTTTTCGTTTTTGACTGTTCTCTAGGTTTTTTTTCACACTTTTTACTGCTTTTTTTGACGTTTTTTTCGTTTTTTTTTTGTTCTGTCACCGTTTTGAAACCTCCTCTTGTTTTTCTGTCACATATTTTATCGCACACAGAAAAGAGTAGAAAAAATGTCAACAAAAAGCGACGAAAACGCTGAAAATACGACAAAATTCTAACAAATCCGATAATCCGACTCGAAAAAAGCAAGCCAAAAATAAGCCAAAAAAAAAGGAAAAATGACAGAAAATTACGCTAAAAGAACAACAAAAAAGAAGCCGAAAAAAAAGAATCACTGTCAAACTTAATAATCAATCATTTAAAACGCAAGGAGAGATGGCGCTAGTTACCAACAAAATTTTGAGGTTAGTTTTGATGTACCGCGTAATCACTAATCACTTTTGAAACAAAAATATAAACTTTTAAACGGTTTATGTTGGCATAACGGAAGTAATTGTGTGACAGATGTGTCAATCGTGACATGACAGCTGACAACCGGAAATGATAGGAAAATCCAGGATTACCAATAGACTCAGTCATTTCTGATCACGTGATAGTTGTAATTGGTAATACTGTAGGTGCAAATACGGAAAGAAGACGTGTGTCTTGACACTCTCAAAGAACTACCCAAAGAAATCCGGGACGAAGTGATCAGAGAGTACAATTTAGACCCAGTGGTACCACAACCAATCAGAGCAGCGCATCTCAAAAAAGCGCTGCCACCTGCCAAAAAATCCCCGTTTAGGCGAACACTTCCGACAACTGGCGATGACCAGCGACATCAACTTCTTGCACCAGAATTTCAGTGACCGGGGATGCCCATGGCACCAAGCTTACCACAAAATCGTGGATTTGACCCAACGCGGGATGGTCAAGACCTTCGGGGGCGAACTACTAGTGAAAGAAAACTTTCAGTGTTGTTTCAAAGTGTAATTTTACAACTACTAATTTATAATAAAGGACGATAACTATTAGTTACCACGGGTTTCGTTGTCCGGCGCTTCGCTCGCTTCTGGTTTCGTAGTACGTTGGTCCGTCATGAACACTTGCATATCGTAGAAGGCGGTCTTATTAAACGCGTAATATTCCTTATTTTTGTATTTGTCGCCTAGTTGTTCAGCCGCCGCTAGTTTTTCCGAATCGAGAATGTCAACTTCTTGTAGAATATCCGGGTGCGCAAATTCGTCCCCTCCTGCTTGTTCAGCCTTCATGGTCCCGTCTTCCACATCATCTTCCACTTCCACGTCGTGTTCTTCCTCTACATCTTCGTCGTCTTCGTCTTTGCCCAACTCGGGACACGAACTCATAGCTTTGATTTTCGCAGCGTCTGACTTGGCCCGAATTTGGTCCATCGAGTTTGTTTTCCTCACGTTGCTACAAACCTTCCGTTTCGTGCCTCTTCTATCCCTGTCCCGTTTACACAAATCATCTACTTGTTTCTTTTTACAGTCGTCGGCACCGATTTCCTTTGGCCTGTGACAAGGATTGTCCTTATGGCACGGATCTTCGAGCTTCGTGTTACCGGAATTTCCTAAAGCGCTGCATTTGCAAGGATCATTTTTGCCGGAGTCCTTGTTCTTGCAGTCGTCGTCGTGTTTCTTCTTTTTGTCCTTCTTGCAAGGGTCGTCCTTCTTCTTCTTGTCTTCCTTCTTCTTGCAAGGGTCGTCCTTTTTCTTCTTGTCTTCCTTCTTCTTGCAAGGGTCGTCCTTTTTCTTCTTGTCTTCTTTCTTCTTGCAAGGGTCGTCCTTTTTCTTCTTGTCTTCCTTCTTCTTGCAAGGGTCGTCCTTTTTCTTCTTGTCTTCCTTCTTCTTCTTGCAAGGGTCGTCCTTTTTTTTGTCGCCCTTTTTCTTGCAAGGGTCGTCTTTCTTCTTGTCGTCCTTTTTCTTGCAAGGGTCTCCTTTTTTCTTGTCGTCCTTTTTCTTGCAAGGATCGCTCTTCTTGCCTGAACCACTCTTCTTGTCGTCCTTTTTCTTGCAAGGGTCGCTCTTCTTGTCCTTTTTGTCGTCCTTCTTCTTCTTGCAAGGGTCGCTCTTCTTGTCGTCCTTTTTCTTCTTGCAAGGGTCGCTCTTCTTGTCGTCCTTTTTCTTCTTGCAAGGGTCGCTCTTCTTGTCGTCCTTTTTCTTCTTGCAAGGGTCGCTCTTCTTGTCGTCCTTTTTCTTCTTGCAAGGGTCGCTCTTCTTGTCGTCCTTTTTCTTGCAAGGGTCGCTCTTCTTGTCGTCCTTCTTCTTCTTGCAAGGGTCGCTCTTCTTGTCGTCCTTTTTCTTGCAAGGGTCCTTCTTCTCCTTTTTGTCTCCCTTCTTCTTGCAAGGGTCGTCCTTCTTCTTGTCTTCTTTTTTCTTGCAAGGGTCGTCCTTTTTGGCCATTTCGTAGCATGTATCGCCGCCACCGTCGCACTTCTTCTTATCGCCCCTCTTCTTCTTCTTCGGTGGACAATAGCACGGGTCGTCTTCGTGACAGGTGTCTTCTTCTTCCGCTTTGCAGTCTTCCCAGGGCCCGTAGTAGAGTTGCCGCTGCGAGTCCTTGTTGCAGCCGCCCTTTTTCTGGCACTTATCTTCAACTGGACCCCATGAAGGTTTCTGGTTTTCTTCGGACCTGGTGTTGACGACTAACCCTTTGTTGAACCCTATCATGAAGCTGCGGATCCAGTCCTCTTCGGAGTTGAAGCGACTTAAGTACGGGTTGAGCGAGATTCTAGGATACATGGCGGTTTCGTCGGTTACTTTGCGCATCTTTTCTCCCGCTTTCCTGCATTCTTCCAGGGCTTTTTCATAGACATTTTCGCGTCTGGGTGCGATGATGTACCTCGAGGGGAGCTTGTGGAGACTGCGCTTACACAACAAATCGCAAATTTGCAGAACGTGGCCTAAACTAGATAGTAATTTCATGGCGGAGAAT